ACCTCTAGGCAGGCGCGTACGCGGGGGGGGGGGGGGGGGGGGGGGGGGGGGGGGGGGTTGGGGGTTAAACCCCTTTAGTTTTTTGTGTATGTGTGTATTTTAGAACAAAACCCCCCCCCCCCCCCCCCCCCCCCCCCCCCCCTTCGGCGATTTTTTTTTTGTTGTTTTGTTTGTTTGTTTGTTTGGTTTTTTTTTTTTTTTTTAATCAGCTGATCGTGTATTTGTCTTTGTATGTATAATGGGCCCTCATCCATGTCATGATCCATAATTAAGGTTCTCTTCACGTTATCTATTTATTTCTGTTGTCATGCTGAAGTAGTCGTGTATGTTAAATTATTTTGAAATAGAAATTGCCTTCAAGTTATATTTACGGTGCCATGTCAAAAGAAAATAAATATCCGCTCTCTGGTAATTCATCTCATTTGATTGTTTAACTCCAGCACAGCGTTTTCCAACCGGGGTGCCGCAAGAGAATGATTTGGAAAACGTTGATTTTGTAAAAAAATCTAATACCAGAAACGGTTAAAATATGTGATTACATGAGAAAATTAAAATTGAAGATACTAAAGTGTCTTCCTTTCTCGCTCGCTGACAATATTTTGACAGCAAGGCAAATAAGGGCAACGAGAGGCCCGAATACCCTCATATTCGTGTATCAAGGTCATGACCAAATATATCACTTTTTATTTATGTACATTCGGCGGCAAGGTGCCCGCATACAGTACTTTAAATAGTTTCTAGTGTGGGGATTATATACTAATTTGTTACCAGTTTGAAAATGTCTTCTCCTTTTTATTCTTAAATGTGCCCATACGTGTGTGCATAGCACTTGACGAGAGCCAGAGCCATGCAAAATTAATAGTCTGCAAAGACTTTGGGATTTGGGAGAAACTTTTCATTTCTTAAGAGGGTATCGTGACTAACAAAAAGTTAAAATAACGCTGCTCCAGAGAAATGTATTTCTATGCATTTTGAAAAGCGCTGGACAATTACCTAAAACTTACATCCTTCGTGGAAATTAGCAACCGCATTGGCGTTGCATAAATTATAGTGAAAGGGAAATGTGTAGTAATGAGGAAGACAACGTGCTATAGTATTTGAAAGAATATGGGTTCATGCAGGGGATCGTAGCCATCTCTCAATGTGTCGGATCGTATTTTGCTATTGAATCCTGATTGTCCACGTGGGGAATTGTCCTCGGGGGGAATTGTCATCGGGGGGATTGTCCTCGGGGGGTAATTATCATCGGGGGGTAGTTGTCCTCGGGGGGTTATTGTCCTCGGAGGTAATTGTCCTCGGGGGGTAATTATCCTAGAGGGGTAGTTGTCCTCGGGGAGTAATTGTCCTCGGGGGTAATTCTCCGGGTGGTAATTTTCCGAGGGGTAATTGTCCTTGGGGGGTAGTTGTCCTCGGGGGGGTAATTTTCCGGGGGGTGATTGCCCAGGGGGGTAATTGTCCTAGAACCGTTGAGTTCTTGGAAGAGGTGCAAAACAATTTGTGAGCAATTTATCATTGTTGACTATGCAAGTGTGGAAGAAAATCAGATAAAAAGTGTTCCATGAAAAGCATGGCTCTTCAAATGCCTTAATATTTTAATAATGGCATGTCAAATCATAAAAATCGGGACGGATTTTAATGCCACATGTTCATGTAGTCCCGTATACATCTTGTTGTGTACAGTGATTGCAACTTTACCAAGACTGGGCCAAATTTCGTATCATTTTGCTGAATCCAGAACCTTGGAGTACACAACAATACTTATATGCTAGATGATCGACCTGTTTTTATTGATTCCACACCGTTTCTTTCACAATGCAATCGCATGACCAGAACTCTACTTTATCTTTAAATACTAATTTCTGATAATTTGTTATATTTCATGAAAGAGGAACTCAAGTATGCTTTCAACACGCACCCGGCCTGTCGGGAAGTGCATTGGTGAATATATCCTCTGATTTCTTGTTTCGAATAGTCATTAAACTTCAGTGAAAGTAATTGTGTTATATAAACATAAGAATTGCGAAATGCACGTACAGCTTCTATTTCCTGATATGATAATTTACAGAATAACGCCAAGATTAATATCTCTAGCATCCGTTGTGAAAGGTATTATATTTCTTTCGGTTTGGGGGATAGATTCTTTACTGTTATAGTAGTCTTAAATACAAATTTCTTGTATATTTCTTGAAAGAGGATATTAAGCATACTTTCAACACGCACCTGGATGTCGGAACATGTTGTACATCTGCTGTGCTACAAAATATCCCATTTTGCTGCAGGCCTACTTCCCAGGTCGAAATTCCAGTTGATACCAGTTGAAACCAGTAAGGATTTCAAACTGCTATCTACTGTTTTCACCTGGTCTCAACTGGTACCAGTTGATACCAGTTGATACAATTTGGAAAACTGTAAGCATAAAATTAGGATACTAATAGGGTGATCACACTGCCTGTGCACACAGTCTGCCCTATGCACACACACACACACACACACACACAACAGCAGTCAGTTGGTAGAAATAGCAATTTTCGTAAATTTATTTTAAAAAGACTGAACAATATTTTTAAATTTTTATTTCACATATCTTTCAAGCATACCTTTAACTACAATTCTGTGAAGTTTCATTGTTATAGGCATGTGGGAAATATGTTAAATTATTAATTAGAATATTGTCTTTTCAGCCATGTGTGACATGGCCCGCTGATCGCCCATTGACTGTTATTATGCGTCCTCGGGGGGTAATTGTCCTAGGGGGTAATTGTCCTCGGGGGTAATTGTCCTCGGGGGGTAATTGTCCTCGGGGGTAATTGTCCTAGGGGGTAATTGTCCTCGGGGGGGGGGGGGTAATTGTCCTTGGGGGGTAGTTGTCCTCGGGGGGTGATTCTCCGGGGGGTAATATTCCAGGGGGTAATTGCCCTTTGGGGGTAGTTTTCCGGGGGGTAATTTTCCGGGGGGTGATTGCCCAGGGGGTAATTGTCCTAGAACCGGTAAGAATAATTTTTGCGAGCGAGCGAAGCGAGCGAGCAAAAAATTTGGATTTGTGAGGTCGCAGTGAAAAAAATTACATCTTATAAAGAAGAAAAAAAAATCCCGATGGGGTTTTAAGCACAATCTAATCATGAAAGACTGAAAAGATCTTTAATATGAACCATAATTATATCAATTTTAAATACGAGCGAGCGTAGCGAGCCACACTTGGGTGAAATTAAAGAAAAGTTCCTCTTAATCCCTTTAAATTAGGAGCACTTTTTATGGGGAAACGAAAAGGGGGCACATATCCAAAGGGGAAAATGACACTTATTTGAAATGAAAAAGAGCACATGTCAAAGTAAAAAGGGGAATTACCAGAGGTGAAAATGGGGCACTCCTCGCACCTAATAAGGGGCACTCACCAGAGATGAAAATAGGCACTTATGACAACGGAAAAAGTGCAATTTTCAGAAGAAAAATGGCACTAATCAGAGATGAAAAGCGGCACTTATTACAGAGTTAAAGGGGGCACCTCTCAAATTTTAATAAGGGCATGCACTCATCGGAGATGAAAAGGGGCACGTATAAGAAAGAACCAAATCTCACGCACACATTATGCAAAAGAGGTGAGTAATTACGTCCTGCAGGACACAACACAAATCCCAGGTTGGTTTCCGGAAGCTGGAGAAGAATCCTTTTCGCATCGTATACTGATTTTAATTTTTAATGATTTACGCATCTATCCAATCTGTCCATTTAGTGTAACAGTAACAACCCATCTGTGACACTAATAAACGATGTGCATGAGACTAATTTTATTCGGTATCATTTACATATAATAAATATTATGGGCAGATTGAAAAAGAAAAATTTAGACTGACAGGTCGTCTTCTGTGCACATGTTCAACTGAATGCAGTGTTTTTACCCAGATTCTGGCGATAAAAATGGGTAATTTTCTGAATAAATCAGGCTTTTACGACCACTTTTACGGAACTAATTTTATGAATCCGCGAACTGCCTCCGTGTTTTTACTTTTCGCATTTGCTATTTTTTCGTGCTTTTTTCCTTAATTACGTTTGCTAAGTCGCGCTTTTATGTAGATAAAATATGTGGTCTCGCATTTTGCAGGGAAATTTTTTTTTGCGGGGCCTTGCCCTTGGTTGGTTTCTTTCTATTTCTCTTTAAAATACTTTTCCAAATAAGAGGGGGGGGGGTGGGGGGGGGGGGGGGCTCGAGCCCCGCCATACCGCGGACCCTGTACACTGTGTAACAGCATGATGATTTGGCAGATGGACCTGAAGTTAACCGAGTCCTGAAATATTTTTGAACGTTGTAACTTGTACGCTAGTGTAGAGAGATCATCGGCATTTTGTTTCTATCATAATATATAGGCCTAAAACACGAATTAGGGCTAGTTTGACCTGAAAACAACCCAAAGCTCGGCGCATGTCCAGCTGAACCGCGGGAGCTTGGCCTATATACGGATAGGTGAGGGCCCTGGGTCCACTCCTAACTCGTGTTTTAGCCCTTCTTTCTTCCCTTTTCCTTTCCTTTCCTTTCCTTTCCTTTTTTTCGGGGGGGGGGGGGCCGGGCCCGTGGGCCCCCCCCCGTGGATCCGCGCCTGGTAGTAATAGTAGTAGTAGTAGTAGTAGTAGTAGTAGTAGTAGTAGTAGTACTTAACTCTGACTAGAATAATGTCCAGGCAAATGCCTTCAGGCTAACAAATAAAATGGTATCTCCCGATTCCGATTCGATTTCTTCGATCACACACGCACAAACAACCTACAAACGCTCACACACACACGCACACACAGCCTTCCATATAAGTAAACGGTGCATACATATAGATTCATGCACCGTTTACTTATATCCTATTTTCCATATGTATGGTAAATTCTATGCGGTTTTCTTATATGAATGTTAATTTTTGTTTGTACCCGTCGATTCCATTGAAAATTAGTTTAACATTTAACACAAAAATAAAGTGAGACAATTGTTATATGATTCATATTTTTTCATTCAATTACAGGGCATAACCTCTTGCATGTTATCAACTTCACCGACGTCGTAAGACCCAGGATCGTGAGGTCGTTACGCGTTCTAGACCCTATCATAGACATCGCAGAATGTGGCAACCTGGTAGCCTTCACGAGTCGACCTAGGCGAAGTCGCACTGATCCAGGCATGGTACACATCTACCAGAAGTACCCGGTCTTCGGCAGCCTGTGTAACTTAACAGGTACGTAATTCTTGGATGGATGGGTGGTATCAGAAAGGAAAATAGGGAAAGACTCCAACGGCTTCATAATAAGTGTGTCATCTGTCAAAGAGCTAAGGCCTCCATCACGCCAAACTAGTTCTTACTACGTTCTAGAACCGTCCTAGAAAATCGTAAAATGGGTTGTGGTCGGGGTAGAATGTGTAAAAAAAAAGTGTCTATAATACGATCCTAGTTCGTTCACAAACAGTCCTCAATATGTCCATCTCGTCTGTACCCCTTCCACAGTCAGTTCATATCAAGTTCAGATCGGGTAAATTTTCAAAAACGGTTCCATGCTACCCGCTCTTAAACGATCACACTTGCCCCTTGCCACTCCGAACCCTAGAAGACAGTGGATACCTTTGAGGATAGCGGAAAACCTTTGACATTGACCAACATGCATGCATGTGAACGTTGCGAAACGGTAGGAATACTCCCTAGGCAGTCGGCACTTTTGTGTACATGACAATCAAATCACCATGTGTAATTGTAATATTTACATTTATAAAGAGAACTGAAATATTATCGTAATACAATATTTACACTTAATATGTCATCTTTAGAACAGAGTTATGTTATATCTGGCTGTGACTTGCGGGTTCCGGTGCCTCAGTGGTCATGTGTACCGACACTGTGAACAGTACAAAGTTTGACATTTGTAGTTTTAAACACTTACGAATGCCTTTGCTTCTAGTTTTTCCAACAGGCATTCATTTTTTTCTTTTAAGGATAAAATGTATGTTTTATCAACATTCCAACTTTATAATGATGTTGAGTTTCAAATAACTGAATGTATCTTTAAGAAGTCATGTATTAAGGCCAAACGATGATGCATTTGAGGCTACTTCAATCAGTTGTCAAAGACTCCTAAACAATGTTGACATAGTGTAGGAAGGTGACTAAGAGCTTTGAGGGTTTTCCAGGGAGATTTCTTCCCCGTTTCGGTGCACAGATGCGATGGTGATAATATCATCACATTGACGCATACTTGGGGATATGGAGAGTCTGGGATAACAATTGTTGAAATTGATAGTGAACAGGGCTCCGTTTCCTTCTCGTTTGATTCATGATGCATTGAGAAGTGCCCATTTTGCGAACGATTTTTTGAAAATGGGGTAATTATACTAAAGGTTTAGAAAACCAGGGAAATGTATGTGTTTCTTGCTTCCTACACTATGTCATTAGAGGTTGACAGTTTTACAAGGAGCTGGGTGTTCCTGCTGTAGCGTAAATGAGTACGAGTGAATGCTATAAGGGGTATAAAACAAAATCTGACAACAAACTATTTTTTAACCAGTTAAAGAGACTGAGGATAATCAAATTCTACCCTATAACCACAATGTGGTATATTAGCGACATGTTCAAAGAAATGTCCACATTATCAGTTATCAGAAGGAGAATCTAAAAACTATCATGATGACAGTTTGACAGTTTAAAAAAGAGGGGGCATTGGGGATGCCCTTTCGCCCCTACGGCATTGTCAAGAAATACTCGTGCCGCGACACCGAGCAAAATTGTAGAGCTTTATAGAGAACCCTCTACTGAAATTTTTAGGCCACCCCTTTAACAATTAGAAAATCTTCGCCAAGCGGCCTCGCATAAGATTTCGGAATCGAAGCCGAATTCGATGTCAATCTGACCAAAAGCTCTATATTTGTTTGTGATATGAAAGACCAGTATGGATGAAAATGGGGAAATTTTACATGTTGGACTTTAAGAAATAATTAGTAACAAATTAATCGTTTACCGGTATTTCTTCGAAAGTCGAGTTAGGTCAGCAGTGTAGTGAGAGATGAGGATACATTAATATAGGGGTCAGACGTGTCAATTACAACCGTAGCAGTAACAAAACAAAAACATATGTTTGAGTCTCTTCATAATGGATTTAAAATCCTAATCATCACAACAATCCCAACGCATTTGTGTGTTTCTGTTTCCTTTAATAGTTGGAAGCAACCCTAAGAGTCTGAAATTCGACTACAAGTGCGACACCATCATCATCGCCAACGAGGGACCAGCAGCAGAGAACGTTGAGCAGGAGGTCTTTGTGAACCCAGAAGGCACCGTCAGTGTGGTACGCATTAACAACACATTCGTCAACCCTGCCTTGTCCATGTGTCAACCTATGCCGTACGGATCGGACGTCAGGCACATTGACTTCCGACTCTTCAACGATCCTGCACTGTAAGTGTTTTTGTTTTTTTACATTTGGTCTACAACCGGTCAGTCTACTACCTAATTGGTCTATTTTCATATGGTCTACACCCAACCCGTCTGCTATCAACACGATCTAACAACCATTTCGTCTACATTATTTTGTCTAATGCCCATCTAGGCTATTAACCATTTGATCCAATTTCCATTTGGTCTTATCTTCCATAAGTCTACATCCAATTTGTTCTTTTGTTCATTTAGTCTAATTCCAGTCGGTCTTCTTCACAGTTTGTCCAATGTCCAATTTATCTACTGTCCATATGGTATAATAATCATTTCATCATAACACTTTTCATGTGACACTTCGAAAGCTATTTGTTTTGCTTGACAGAGACTTTATACAACTGCACCCCTTAAAAACCATTGTGCTACCACTGGCAATAAAGACACATATAATAACATCTAAATAAACGAAAAAGAAAAGAGGACGCAGAAATAACACGTAATTCAGTAGCTCTCAAATTCAATGTCTTTCATTCGGTAGCTGATTCAGGGCTTTAGCTGCACCAACCATGCGGCAGGTTTGATACTACCCTCGGCATCTCGCCTCGGGGTGGGAATGCATGAATGTCGGGGGAAAGCAGCGGTGAATTACCATGGATATTGTTTCAATTAAGTCATTCTTTACTGAATCATATTTCTTCTTTACTTACAGAGCACCTCTGATGGAACAGCAGTTTATCCGCAACCCATACAAAGGTCAGATGGATGGAGAGCAACATACATTCTCTATGAACGTTGAACCTGAATATGTCACGCTTGATCCATGGCAACCAACAGCTTGGGTCACCCTTCAGGTAATCAGGCGATTTAGTTAAAGGAAATCAAACCTTAAAGCCCCACTGCACTACTTATAGCTACTTTCGTCCTCTATATAGCAAACAATGCCTAATCCGTGACTATTGGTCCACATGGTTCCCTTTTTCGTATGTTAATTGAGAGCTGATTTGATGCGATAACCACCTGTCAGTGACCATGCAAGGAGGTCTAATCCCTCCTGGCCAAACTATTGTGGAGGGGCTTTAAGAGGCAAAGTGCTCTGAAAGTAAAGCAGAAAACATAAGATCGAGAAGCAGGTGGAAGTTTCAATGAAATGGCATAAGTAATAAAAAAAGTCATGAATTGTTGAAAGTTGTAATCATGATATACATATATAATGTGAATGTCAAATTTAATGAATCGGTATTGTCATTGTGAATTAGTGCCATGCGACTCTCCCATTTTCCAAAACACAAAACGACTAAAATGTCAATAGCCGAGCTACCCTGATAAGGCGCTCAAGCATTCAAGGAATGTCCTCCTCCCGGCGGGTTACCATTGACATCACCTGAGTGGAGAGTGGCAAATTTAGAATAATGTCTTGCCAAAGAACTTCGTGCTTTCTAGACTTGTTGACATCTTTTCATCTTAATTTAAAGAAGGAAGAGCATCTATCGTCAATGGCGTCATATTGTTCCAGCCATTTAGGGGGCACTAGCATTAGGAAGAAACTAATCATACTAGGTAGAGGACATGCGACTCAAGACACCCAGTGATTAGGGGGGGGGGGGTGTTGGAGGAGCAACCATCTTCTTTACACTTTCCCTTTCCACCCTCTCCTGTTAATTCTCTCTCTTTCCCCATTTTCCGTATTTTTCCCAATTCAATGGGAAAGAGCATGAGCCTTTGTGCCCTATCGATTTATCACTTATCAATATGTATGAGATGGAAGTTTCATAACTTTTCTTTTTTGGTATTATTCTCATTTCTCTTATTGCTGGAATACAGGAAAATAATGCTATTGCCGAGGTATGGTACGAAAACATGACTGCCATCATTCATCCTCTAGGACTCAAGAACTGGACCAATTATGGCATCGATGCCAGCACTATGGACGCTAAGACAAGTGAGTACAAGATTCAAATCTCTGTTGAGAGACAGAGGGGCGTTAACGAGTTTGGTTTTGGTTTGGTTTGTTTTACCTGACTGCTAAGAAAGCATATGTATGCTTGTTAGTAAGCAACCAGGGGATAGACGGCTTTAAGTCCTCTCCGAGTGAATTGTTAATGAGAATTAATGCTTTACAAAAGAGCACTATAGCGCGACTAGGTTTCGAACCCGTGACCTCTAGGTCACGAGACCACTGCTCTACTACTGAGCCATCAAGTATCATTTCCCTTCTTGTTCTCAATCCTATCCTATCTGAAATGTTCATAGGTTCAATTTCATGCCTTCGTATTCATCCCCTACTCCCCACTCAGGTGTTAAAGGTAATACAAAGTTTTGGGAAATTTTGAAAATTGGGTGGATAGTATGGTGGCCCTGAAGGGACATCGCGAATAGACTAAATCGTGAAAAATATGCGATAAAATTCACGATATCGTCAATTTTATCGCATATTTTTCACGAAGAAATTCACGAAATTGACGATATCGTGAACTTTATCGTGAACTTTTCACGATGAAATTGACGATATCGTGAATTTTATCGTGAAAAGTTCACGATATAAAGTTCACGATATCGTCAATTTTATCGTGTACTCTATCGTGTACTCTATCGTGTACTCTCCTGACGGGCGCTTCGTAAACAAAACCAGCCCTAGCTGGGGGAGACAGAGAGAAGGAAAAAAGGGAAAGGGAAAGAGAAGATAAAAGGAAAGAAAGAATAATAAGAAGAAAAGAGGGAAACGGGGGGGGGGGGCGAAGGGCTCTTGCCTCCTCCTCACTCCCCCCCCTCCCCGCCAAAAAATAAATAAGGAGAGAGAGAAGGGAAAGGGAAAGGGAAAGAAAATATAAAAGGAAAGAAAGAAGAGGAAGAAGGAAAGAGGGAAACGGGGGAAGGGCGAAAGGCTCTTACCTCCCCCCCCCCGCCAAAAAAATAAATAAGAGAGAGAGAGAGAGAGAGAGAGAGAAGGGAAAGGGAAAGAAAGAAGAGGAATAAGAGGGAAACAGGGGAAGGGCGAAGGGCTCTTGCCTCCTCCCCCCCCCCGCCAAAAATAAATAAGAGAGAGAAGGGAAAGGGAAAGAAAATATAAAAGGAAAGAAAGAAGAGGAATAAGAAGGAAAGAGGGAAACGGGGGAAGGGCGAAGGGCTCTTGCCTCCTCCCTCCCCACCCCCGCCAAAAAAATAAATAAGAGATAGAGAGAGAAGGGAAAGGGAAAGGGAAAGAGAAGATAAAAGGAAAGAAAGAAGAGGAAGAAGAAGAAGAAAAGAGGGAAACGGGGGCGAAGGGCTCTTGCATCCCCCCGCCCAAAAAATAAATAAGAGAGAGAGAGAGAGAGAAGGGAAAGGGAAAGAGAATAAAAAAGGAAAGGAAGAAGAATAAGAAGAAAAGAGGGGCTCTTGCCTCCTCCCCCCCCCTCCCGCGCCAACAAATAAATAGGAGAGAGAGAGAGAGATAGAGAGAAGGGAAAGGGAAAGGGAAAGAAAATATAAAAGGAAAGAAAGAAGAAGAAGACGGAAAGAGGGAAACGGGGGAAGGGCGAAAGGCTCTTACCTCCCCCTCCCCCTCCCGCCATAAAGGGAAAGAGAAGGGAGAGGGAAAGAAAATATAAAAGGAAAGAAAAAAGAGGAAAAAGAATAAGAAAAGAGGGAAACAAGGGCGAAGGGCTCTTGTCTCCTTTCTTTTCTTTCTTTTCCTTTCTTTCCTATTCTCCCTCTTTTTCGTTTTTCTCTTTCTTTCTTCTCTTTCCCTTTCCTTCTCTCTCTCTCTCTTATTTATTTTTGGCGGGGGGGGGGGGGGAGGAGGCAAGAGCCCTTCGCCCTTCCCCTGTTTCCCTTTTATTCCTCTTCTTTCTTTCCCTTTCCCTTCTCTCTCTCTCTCTCTCTCTCTCTTATTTATTTTTTTGGCGGGGGGGGGGGGGGGGGGGGAGGTAAGAGCCTTTCGCCCTTCCCCCGTTTCCCTCTTTCCTTCTTCCTCTTCTTTCTCTCCTTTTATATTTTCTTTCCCTTTCCCTTTCCCTTCTCTCTCTCCTTATTTATTTTTTGGCGGGGAGGGGGGGGGGGGGAGTGAGGAGGAGGCAAGAGCCCTTCGCCCCCCCGTTTCCCTCTTTTCTTCTTATTATTCTTTCTTTCCTTTTATCTTCTCTTTCCCTTTCCCTTTTTTCCTTCTCTCTGTCTCCCCCAGCTATGGCTGGTTTTGTTTACGAAGCGCCCGTCAGGAGAGTTCACGATAGAGTACACGATAGAGTACACGATAAAATTGACGATATCGTGAACTTTATATCGTGAACTTTTCACGATAAAATTCACGATATCGTCAATATCATCGTGAAAAGTTCACGATAAAGTTCACGATATCGTCAATTTCGTGAATTTCTTCGTGAAAAATATGCGATAAAATTGACGATATCATGAATTTTATCGCATATTTTTCACGATTTAGTCTATTCGCGATGTCCCTTCAGGGCCACCATAGGATAGTGATTCTTTACAATTTTGATATATTTGGATGCCCCTGTGGATGTTTTAAAAACACCAGAAATGTTAGCCCCTTAAACACTTCTGCTTTCGAGAAAAATTGAATATAAAGATTTACCGGTGCTCCCGGTAAATTTTGATAAATTTCAAATAGCTCCTATGGCCGTTCAATGGTAGCTGCGACCATGAAAATCTCAGAGTATGTAGTTGTGGTATATAATTTCCGAACGAGAACAACTAATTGGTAGATTTTAGTCAAGAAACATTGTTTTATAGCTTAATTTATATCTTGACCTTGAGAGGGAGCTATACAACATAGAGAGTTTGTTATTTACAATTTCATAACTTAAGACTCGATTTTATCCGCGACAACAATCACTGAATAATGTAGGACCGCATATGCGTCTATTATGTTCATTTGAACCAAATTCATGACCCCATACCAAAACTTTGTATTACCTTTAAGAGGAATATACAAGGAGGAGAGGGGACAACGGAATTCCTGATATTATATTTCCAAAATGTTTCATATTGTTTTGGACCCGTGCTTCTCGTGTGCAATTTGTACAGCTTAGGGTGAACAACTATTAATGTATAAGGCTTCGATTTCACAACAGCTTTTGTAAAACCAAATATCAATTATCGTTAATATTAATGACACGGGTGGTGAAAGGTGATGAGAAAGTCAGATCGGTGCCCAGTGTTCTTGTAGCGTTCTGATTTTTTGTTGTTAACATACAGATTTTATTGACTGGATTGATAAACTATTTTGATTTCGTTGATGAAATAGATAGTAAATACTTTTTACCCCATTTGAGTTTGTAGCCCTTCACGATTAAAATGTTCGAACTTAAATGTTAAATCGTTATTAAAAAGTGTCACGTTTATTTTCAAAACCGTTTACATTTCAACATGTATAAGCGTACTATTGATCGTACAATCGTATATCCTTTATCATTCGGTATAATCAATCGAATGCAACTGTTTGATAATTGCTTAATTGAATTTTTCATTTTTGTTTTATTTCTGTAAAGGACAAAATGAACCAAGGCGAGGAATCAAGTTTAATCGTTATCCGATCGAAAGCTTACTTCAAGCAGATGCCGTTGAAATGATGGATATTAACGGTGAGGTGTTCCTAATCACAGCCAATGAGGGCGCCCCATTAAATTACGTATGCCAAAGTTGCGAGGTGGAAACTGAATACACGGAGATGGAAGAGGCGGCAGAACTAGCCGGAGGTATGGGTTGTACTTGTTATATTACTTTTAATATTCATTGAAAATTAGGTATTTCTGCTTGGAATAACCGTAGAATATCTAACCCTGACCATAGGGCCTTGGTTCATAGCAACACATGGCACACAATTATGTGAGGCGATTTGATGCAACTAATATCAAGTAAATCCCAAAATAGATGCTTGGTTCCTTTTTATCGGCATAAATCGATACATAAAACGAAATCAGTCCTTCAAGTTTGCTCGCTCGCTTCCCTCGTCCAAAATTTGTCCTTCATAATTAACTATTATCATTATACAACCACTTAACTTCTACGTATTATTTCAATGTCTATGTTAATAACTTCATCAATGAAAATAGTTATTTTTGCAACTATTTTAAGTTAGAATGATATCTGAAACCAGTGATTGGTCCCTAGTAGGGCCATTGGTACAAATGTGTAAGACTCGGAGACCCGCAGTATAATTTTAAACATATTTTTGGCCCACCTGGCAATGAAATACCCCTGGCCTAAGCCTAACCTTTATGAAACTAACCCTAACCCTTACATAAATATTGGTTAAGAAAAGTTGTAATAAACAAACGTAATATGTCGTTCCTGAGTGCATGGAGCAAATGGATTTAATACAGTTCAAGTAACGCCGAAAATTTAGATTCGTCTATTATTAGCGTTAGTTAGGCACATTCAAAATTGCCCTGACACGATCGTGAACTCATTAATAATTCTTTGACGTGTGCGAAATAACCTGATAGTCATATTAAACATTGAAACAATTTCCCTTTCTTTTAGATTATTTAATTTCTGAACGTGTAGCTCCCGAAGTAAGAAGAGCGATGACTGATCCAGCCCGACTCGGTAAGATATTTTCTATTTTTCCTTATAGACTTTAAAGTATAGAAGGTTAAAAGGAAGTTTTTTACGTTCTTGCCTTTTCTATGGTAGAGAGCGTTTGTATAATTACACGTACATGTTGGTATATACGAATGATTCATGCGAATGAGTTTATTATAGGATCTATCCGAAGTCCAGTTGAGATTGTTTGCATCTATCGCACGAAGTCGTCAGGTCGAATACAATAGTTGTATATTTAAATTACTGAGATACATAATTATCTTATAGCGATATGATTTTTCAATTCAGATGACTTTCATCAATAAAACATTTTTTTTAAATCCATCGAATGTGCCCTTTCAAGACTGAGTTTGACTGTTTTTCAGGTCAGCTGCGTATCAGTTTAGTCGATGGTCTCCAGGAACAAGGATCAGAGATGATTGACAGACCAGTCTTCTTCGGTGGGCGTGGTATCTCGATGTTCAAAGTAAACCCCTATGGGTTGGACTTGGTGTGGGACAGTGGCGATTCAATCTCCAAGGGGGTGCAAGACTTACACCCCAACGCTTTCAACCATCCACCCTTCGGAAACCAAGAGGTCATGGAGCAATTAGTTATCCCTAGTAACCTCATTAACAGACGATGGGATAGTTGGTCTCCCTTCATGGTAATTCTTCACTAATCAAATTCAAATTCAACAAGCCACTTTGTAGATAGCACTAGTACAAAATTAATTACCCGCAAATATCCACGGATCTTTTGAACATGGAGACGTCCCACTTTGTGTATTTTAGAATCAATACTTCCAAAGCGATGGAGGTGTTTCATGTATACCTTTTGTTTGCCGTCTTGAAAAGAATAATTCCACCTGTGTATCGTATAATGTACCGAAGTCGAATAGATGGATAATGATGACAAAACTTTCACGAACACGTATCCAGCAGTCTTATCGATGTTTTTTGTTGTTGCAGTTTTGTACAAATTAAATTTATCTGCCCATGCGCAGATTGTATCGGCTTATAATGTGGCTTATTTGATTGATCAAGATTCAAACATTCTCAATATTCTGCTAACGAAAATTCCTACGTTATACAAAATAATAAAGATGAAGGATAATTAAAATTCTATTTGATAATGTGAAGTACAAGTCAAACAGGTACAGCAAGACAACTTCAAATTTTAAATTCAAATAGGTAACGTACCCTTATAATAGGCCGGTGTCTCGCGTGGTATTTATCTTTTGAAGTGAAAGGTGATGGCAGGAAGAAGAAAGGGAAACGTCATTTAATTGTCCGAAAGAATAATATCTACATGTATGTATGCGCTCATTATTTATTTCTTCACTGACGTTACATTCCATGGAACACAGGGATATCAAAATGTATTCACGAAGTACATCCATGACTTTGACAGCAATTATTCTAAAATGCACACTGTGGGACTTCTCTATGTTTAGAAGAGGTGTGGATATTCGGTTCATTTTGTACCATGTGTTAATTACAAACTGGTCTATATCAAAAGCGTTGGCCTTTCAATGTGTGAACATCACAATGACGTATGGCGTAATTCTAACAGGTCTTCTTTTGAATATAGGGTATTGACAGTGCACTTGGGTTTATTTTTCTGAAGTCTTTGCCCTGGTATTCGTCAAGTTTTAAACATTCATAATTTTTTTTTTTACCGATAAGGCTCGAGAAACAAAACCAAGGGGGAAAAAAAGGGAAAATGTGGCCAGAAACAACATTGGGATATATATGTAATCGCTTTGTTCAAACGCAATAAAGTTCTAATGTAATTCATTTAAAGCAAAAGCGTCGCAAGTGTAATATGCTTCATATTTCTTGAAAGCGAAGAGCTCAGTGAATACGCATAAGACCTTTGTCGCGTACGATTACCGTTTATTTACACGTTAACAAAATTGCAGCGGTTAATTTTTGTGGCGGTTTACCGCGTCATATCTGAACCGAGCATTTATAAGGAGCTACCGCTGCAGATACATTCACGTTTAACAATCCTATGGTTTTTCTTTGCATGGGACCCGAATGCCAGTCGCTTGCAATTGGCCAATACAACGTCACCCACGTGTATTTACACGTTAAAGAAAATTGCAGCGGTTATTTTTTTTTGCGACGGTTTACCGCGTCATATCTGAACCGAGCGTTTATAAGGAGCTACCGCTGCAGATACATTCACGTTTAACAATCCTATGGTTTTTCTTTGCAGGGACCCGAATGCCAGTCGCTTGCAATTGGTCAATACAACATGACCCACAAGGTGATCATCGTCGGCATCAAAGGTGCGAACGCCCTGGGTATTTTCACCGTGCCTCTCTTAGGTAACTATACTCAGCCGAACTTCGAATCTGTCTACAGGGACGGGGATATTCGCGGCAATGTGATGAAGAGCTACAACCAGATCTACCGCGCTGACGTTCTAAAGCCGGTCGGTGACCACGGCATCGGCAATCTAGACCCGGATTCAATTCAGTAAGATATTCTTCATCAATTTTCTCTGTTATATTAATATATTCAAACTTCAAAGGGAGTTTACTACTAGAGGATGGGGTTGTAATTAGAATGTGACTTGTGCCCTTTTTGTAGGAAAATTCATGATTTTATTCACCAGGGCCTATCGGCAGTTCCTTTGAGTAAAAAAAAAAACAGTCAATGAATTCCTTCCTTTCTGACAGCGGTTAGAGTTAGAGATGCGGACCTACATTAGAGGAAAATTCTTAAAATGTTGTTTTCCATACACTTAGCTTGGAATATGAGTTTAGTGTATTCTAGAGAGAAAAAAAAATAAAGTAACAACTTTGAGAAGTATTAATGAGAACAAAAATTACGAAGGAGGTTGGAAATTTTGATTGAAATGTTATACTTTCGTCAGTCATCAAGTATTGTTAAAAGAAACATCTACAAATTACAATAAAAGTAAACAGGTTAATTGTATTTTGTACCCTTGTATTTGGTATTCATTTCTGGAATGCCCCCAGGGAGTGGAGAATGTGCGTACATTGTGTGCGGGTAAGCCTTGAATCCGATGACCGGGGTAATAGTATATATATCTGTAAGGCGCTTTGATAGGGCCCTCCTGAAAAAGCGCCATATAAGAAATAGTTATTATTATTATTATTATTATTATTATTAGATAAACTCAAAGGGAATACTCTGTTTAAAATGATTCGGTAACATTGCCTCAGATTCTGAAAAAAAATCCTGGATGGAGCACACGCTGCAATCATAATTATAAACCTTTAGGTCAGTCAAGAATCCCATGAATTTTACAAACCGATCGCCTGTCCCATTATCAAGATATTTATGATTAAAAATCGAAATTTCATTTTTCGTTTTCCTCATGTTTTTTTTATAACAATAATCTATTGGGAAAATAAGTATGGTCAAACCGGTCACTCATAGATTTTCACTTTTTTGAGGCATTTCATGATCATTTTGAAGCGCAATTTTTTAGGGCTTCAATATTACATCATATCACAGACACTGATAACACGTACGGCGATGCATCTCAGTATACCTTTAATTACGATTGTTATTCTCTCTCAAATAGGTTTGTCCCCGCTGATAGGAGCCGTAGTCGCCCCCCTATGGTGTTGGTTACCAGTAGAGTGAGTGGCACCGTCAACCTTTATAGAATTTCTGAAGTTCCAAGGGCTCAGCTCCTCAGACAACAGAGTAAGTTCATCGATGGTGGTGTCGTAATATATATCAAATCATCTCGCAATTAAAAGAAGAAAAAGGGGACCTGGCAATAACTGGGGTAATAATAGCATGTATCTCTGACAAGATGAACAACATTGATGATAATGATGATTCCCTGGGTAAACACAATTATTATTATTATTATCAATAACATTGTTTTTATCTATCTTTTGACGCTGTAGACAAATATGTATACCCAAGGTAGTGTTTGACTTGACATCAAGTTTTATATTGGAGCACCTTGTGGCGGGGGTGGAGGGGGGGGGGGCGGGTGGTGGATTCCAACGTGTTTTTGAGATAAAAAAGATAAGAACTGAAAATAAAAAATAGAGATTCATTCATCTAGAGTAGAAATTTGTTAGTATTTTTTGCATTTTCTTTCCTAGTGCATTTACTATATACATAGCTTAAGAAATTGAAAAGAGAAACACTCCATTTTATCATACCAAAGAAATCTTTTTCTCAAACATTCCAGAAATTAAATTGAGACATTCAAATGGCCAGAAAGTTTTTACCAATGAACCAAGGTTAGGCGCATTTGTGAATACAATAACATTTAATCCGGCGGTGCGTCCATTTATTCGAAATCGATATGATTATTAACTTTGGTTCTGAAGAAGAAAAAAAATCATAAATGTTGATAAAAAGAATACCCAGAATTTAAAGGAAATGTAAATAACGCTCATTTTTCTCTTCTTTCATCCTCATTTTTTGATAAAGGAACTTCTCTTGATGGAGGCGTCGGATGCATAGCGCCCTCTACGACATTGTCATTGTTGTTCTCAATCCTGACTCTTCTGTACGTCACATTACGTCACTAAACCTCACAACTGTATGCTCAGAATATACTGATCACGTGATTATTGATTCTTTAACACTTGTGAAACAGTCATTCCACATTTGTGGTTCACCCCAATAACTTTCGATTCAGAACCCTAAAAAATATACCAGATGCATGAACAGACAGGGCAAAAATTTCCTCATAAACTGTGTCCATTTCTGTTGCATGACCACATTTGATCTGATCCCAGGAATTTCAATAAGGAAAATAAACTTTACAATCCCTAAACTTGAAACATTGAGAGGTTCAAGCCATTGTTTAATCAATTAAAGTGTCCTATTTTGATTTTCAACTTACCCATGTATATTGTATTGTACATGTAATATCTAGAAATATGTTAATACCTTAAAATACCTAAACAAGAGAAACATTTCATGTATTGCTGTAAATAGCCCTTTGTGAAGGAATGTAGTGTATATATTATTGAATTCAGTAGAGCGCATCGCTTTTTGGTTTTATACTATCATGTTTGAAACATGCTGGTAACCGAACGGTTGATTTACATATGAATTTATAAGCATTTTAATTAGGTATATTCAGTAACTAAGTGGTCATCAGCAAAACTTGGATCCTACGTATGCTACTATTTTTTGATCTGCTTGTAATATTTTGCACTTCTCACTACAGACATTTACTTTTTTCACGATCTCTTCTCCATTTTGTTCATCATGCTCGCTGACTACGTCTGTCTTTTCTCCCCTCTTCTACATTTTGCATTCTCACTCATGTCCTTTCAAATCTTCTCCCATTTTCTCTTTCTCTCCCCCGATTAGTATCCAGGACGCCGTTTCTTGAAACCGTCATGAGTCTAACTTCTTGGACATCTCATTGAAACGTGTGTTTCAGAGTTAACACGCTTCCATGGGATGTCCATGAACTTAGACTCATGACGGTTTCGAGAAACTTGTTCCTGTTCTTTTTATTATCCCCATCCCCCTTCTCTTCCCTATGATCTCCTCTTTATTTCTTACTTCGGACACTGAGCTTTATAATTGTTAACAAAGTATACTCCGATAACGTGATTGCAAAGACCTTCGGAAAATCAACTTGATTTCAATTAATTTCAAGTAGGGTCTAATTTCAATAGCCTTGTAAATCACCAATTGACCATTAGAATGAGGTTTTAGGTAAACCAAATATGATTTCTTTGGAATATATATGACGGTATTGAAATATCTTTTGAGTTGATTTCTCGAAAGCCTTGCGATTGTGTTTAATGGATGCTCTGATAAATAATCGTTGTGTTTATCTTGAATTTATTGCAGATTATGATAAACGTTAAGTATAGTTTAAAATGTATCACATGACATAATTAAAGGATAGTATTAATAATCACATATGTTAATAAAAATAAAATAACCAAACTCTTAATCTACATGTACTTTTCTTAAAGACATTCTTTAGATTATTTACTCCATAAGCGTATCAAACAAATTATTACTTTTTATTCTTCATATCTGACGAAACGAAAGTATAATGTATGTGGTAAAATTACCTCCAGCGAGTGTTGAATTACAACACTTTCATACTGGATGGTCAACTTGTCATATCAATGTCTTTTTGTAAAGTTCTCATTAAAGTTCTTGCTTTGCTTTTATTACACCAGTTTGTTGACAATGCCCAATCATTGTATTTCAAATGGCTCAACTTAATCTTTCGCTACATTTTCAACCATTTTGAAGGATTTTTTTTTTTTTTTGGGGGGGGGGGGGGGGGACACTCAAAATACCAAGACATTATGTGTCTTGACATATCATTCAGTTGTGAATTTTTGAAGTTGCAGTGAAACTCAAACTGGAAATGGTTTATATAACGAATCTCATGAGGACATCTTCCTTTTATTTTGTACAGAAAAAAATGTTTTACTATTTCCGTTGTTGATAAGGGAATAGATTTGTCTAATGAAGGGGTGGCTTATAAACACGAGTGCATTGATTGCATCTGGGGTGATTTTTTTTAGTACAGAGCAAATGAGAAAGGACCTCGATAGATACGTCAACGAGTTACTGTATATCATTGTGTTTGATTGTTTTCAACCTCAAAAATCCATAAATTTGTCTTTCTTCAATCAAATTTTGCTTAAACTATCAACTCCTCTTTCATTACATTTATTATTCTACTTCTATCACACCCAACTTTAAATCAGAACGGTCTTTCCATTTAAAGATGAGTTGAGTTTTGGTCATGCGATTTCAATGTAAGAGAAACAGTCTGGAAGCAATACGAAACAGGTTGGTTATGTGGCCCATACGAATCTGCGTATTCTATGAGGTTTTGAATTCATCAAAGGGATAAGAAACTGACCCAGTCTAGCTGACAGTCACATGTACTGCACACAGAAATGTGTATGTGGGAGAAAACAAAGGTGTGACATGGTGTAAACAAATACAGCTATTCCTTTTCATATTTCGAATATGAGGGCGTCTGACGAGTAATCATTTTTAGGGACACCTCTCCTATGACATGTCTTTTACACTGACATGAGCAGAATGAAAAAGATCACAAATTATTTTCATCTCTACTAGAACTCAACCTTTTCCTCTACTAGTTTATGAATGATGCCAATTCAATATTGTTAAGAGAATTTAGTGTAATGTGAAGAACATTACACTCTTTTTACAAGGTATTTCTTTGTAAGCAATTGATAGGGAAGCGTGAACTGGTCTCAACATTTAATTTGATTTTACAGAGAGAAAAACAAATCTGCAATATACATGTACATCGTCTAGAATTTGAAAGTATGTGAAAGGTCACAAAATATTAATATAAACAAAAATGTCAATGAACATGTATATATACAAATTATGTTAAAATATATAATAACAATATTAAGGATACTGATAATGATAATAATAAGCATAATGATCATAATATAAAATAATAATGATTATATGTCTTGTTTACCCAGGGTAGCATCATCAGTATAAATACTTATCTTTCTGAGAACCCTGCAATAATATTATCAGCCCGGCTTTAATAAAGCTACCATGGTAAGACGCTCAAGCATTCTGAGATCAAGAAAAGTCAAAATTCTTACTTTTTCTATTTCATAATTTGCTGACTAAAATTCGTTCATGGACGTTATCGAATTCATCATGACATCAGATAAACAAAACATATTTATAAAACATATTACTTCAGTCATACTTTCACAAACAAATAGCTTGAAAGGTGATCACTCCGTTTGAAAAAGCCCCTTCGATCTTTTGAGAACTTTCATTCCTTTTTCTCTCTCTTTCCTGTCTGCTATTCGTTTCCGCAGTCTGTCGATGACTGCGTGTGCTTTAGCGTTTCCGATCAACTCTCGAAATCTTGACACACTCTCAAAAGTAAGCCTCTCAGAGAGCGGCATGCCTTTGGCATCCAGTATCTGTTCGGTTGTCAGAGTTCTGTTGATATTAACTTCGCTCTCTGTCCGACAGTCGATGACCAACTTGGCCGTCTTTTCCTCCTCTTGATGCGAGAACTTGTGATCGAGTCGATCCATCGCCGACACCATTCTGGAATGGGTTCGCCCGCTGTAACGACCGAACGGCCGCATCTCCGCCGTCGCGGGAATACTTGGTAAGAATTGAGGGCGCTTTCGAGCCTTGTTCTTGGCGCGGACGCTTTGTTGTAAAGCTGCATTGTATAGGAAGTGGTCTTTCAAGTTCGACTTCAGTTGCTTCTCTGTTGACTCGTACTGTGTCTGCTTCAGATGCTCCTTGAATTTCAATTGTCTGGTTACCCGCTCAAGTTCGCGATCTTCCATGCTATTGAGGGTACCAGCTCGACTCAAGATCTTCTGGCTAACCTGCTGCAGAGCAAGCCATCGGTCATGACCGCTTGTGAAGTCACTGCTGAAGCCTTTAGCACCCGCCATCACCTGTGAATACAAAGACAACAATCATTATCATTGCTACTGGAAAAAATTGCCAAGAAAAATGCATGTCTGAACAACTATCCCCGGATTTTATCCTACCGCGTTGGTAATTCACCAGACACTCATTAAATTATCCATTTAGAATACTACCCAAAAGACGAGGTTTCTACCATTCAAATCATGTCCATCGGGGGTCAGAGGTTAGGCACGCCATAGCTGGTGCCCCCATTCTCTTGCTTAGTTATTCGGCTCACTCCAAATTAGGGTGGGGCCAAACTCAACAGCAAGAATATAGCACAGTTGTCATTACCCCGAAAACATGAGGTACGGTAGATATTACGCTCTCCAGAAGAAAATTCTCTAGGAAGTTTGGAGTCCTATAGAGAATGGATCGCCTTTCGCATATAGATATCCGATGTACTTAGGCTTAAGGCGGTGTACTGTCTCGAATGGTAGTCAAGAAAGTAGTTGCAAATGTGTCAGTCTTACATGCACCATTACTAAACCAATGATTGTACCCTTCAATATATGGCGCAAACATTACGTTGATAAAAGGAATAATTTCATTAGTAACAAATTAAATTCAACAATCGAGTGACGAGCTGTGGTTTTCATAACTTTGCCCCAAGATAAAGTCGGCAATTGGACGTATCTCCATCGCGACTGATGCCCTAGAGTAGATAATATTAACATCTGAACACACTGGGCAATTGACTATGTATTCTTAACTGATTTTTAATATTTCTTCTTAACATCATGTGAAACAAATAATTTAGAATATAATGAAACAACCGTATTTCGTTTGGTACATGAAGTTGTACCAATGAAATTAGACCACAATATTGCCTTACTGTACAATTTTATTTATTTATTACCCAATGAACGGCTGTAAACTTCGTTGCATTTGATGTCAGATTAAGATTTTTGAAAGGTTAAGTTCTATGCTATACATTTTTTGACGTGATATTGCCTTCTTTCTTTCCTAAGCGTATATTCATATATCTTTATAGAAGTGGTATTATATACAAAATATGTGTCTGGCTATTTTATTCAGATATTTATGTAAGTATTGCATGTGCTTTCTGTAGATCAAACCCACTGCACTAACTAGTTTTGTTGAATCGAAATCATTATTCCCTCTATAAACAATTTCATTTTAACATTTTAACATAAAACGTTTCAACATAAAAGGAATGAAATGGTGGAAAAGTGAGATTTGAGAATTTATCTATCTAATATATTACCTCGATTGAGTAAAATTTTCAAGACATGCAATCTTCATGACTTAAAACCTTCATGAAAACGGAAATGAGAATGTGTGCGATAGAGAGTAACTGAATCATAATGCCACATCAATATCCTGTCTACTCACCTGATTATATTTTGTCCTCCAAAATTTATTCGAGATATTCAATATAATTCCACGTTGTCATTCCATTTCACCGCAACCATGATTACGTTTATGGTTCTCAAATTGTGATTTGCGATTCTCCACGAGTCTGAATAAGAATCCCTGTGTCAAGCCCAGTCCTGCAATCTCGCAATTACTTTCGCTAGGATTGACACAGTCTTACATGTGTATTATCAATATCAGGTAAGGTACAGATGGTTGTTTAGCACTCCGTTATGCTGGTCACTATATACTGGTATACTCAAGAAGTAATCCTATATATTTCCCAATAATATCGATTAATGCAAAACCAACACAAAATGACGCTCCCCGCCCAGACAGACAACAACGGGCTTTTCACAGCTAACTTCTCCCCTCTTTATTGACCGTTATAAAGCAATGAAAGGGGCACGAGGGGGTAATCGATGTTGGATAAAAGCGGTCGCTAGGGATTAGATGGATTAAAGATCGCCTGAAACACTTCGTGAAGCTGCGAACCATGAAAAGCTGAATTGGGAGTATGCGGAAGATGTTTCTACACCACCTCCTGACAATGGTGTTTAGGACTTTACCCTTAATATTTTCTTAGCGAGTTTGCGTTTGACAAAACATAGAGGGCGCGAATTCAATCAGCGCAGTTGGAGACTCACCACTGTTCTCACAGAGATGTACACGTTTTTAGGCCGAACCGTGAGGAAAGGACTGGGGATAGCATTTTCTTCTTTAAAAAATAACAACTTGATTTTAAAGAAGTAAATGAACTTCGTTTGAAATGAAATTCAGAGTAAAGGTTAATTTGAATTTAACCATTCAATATTTTGTAGCCAGCTGCCTATTTTTTTTTATAATAAGGGGTTTGAATTCTCTCTCCAAAGTTGGAGATGTAATGTACATTTGATCTCCATGAAAAAAGTCGTAGAGATCAGTGAAATGTACATGTTTAAATGTTTTTAGGCCAAGCCATGAAGGAAGGCATTGAGATAGCATGTTGAAAAGTATACTGAAAAGTATTGTTTATTCGGTATTCAAAAAGGTTTTTTTGTCATACAAAAAGAAATGTTCGAAGTTTGCCAGAATCAAATATTTATTCACGAATTCTGGAGACCATTTAAAGAAGCTTTAAATTTTGAGAAGTATCGTGATTCTTAAAAAAAACGTGCATGTTTAATATTTTAATGTAACCTTTACGTTATTCAGAACATCTGCGTTAATTTTATTTTGTAATAGGAATCCATTTATAAACAAACCAAAGAAAAGTAAGCTTTCATTATTTAGTGCGTTCACCACCGATTCATTATATATTTTTTATTTTGTATGATTTCATTCGATTTTATTTCTCAACTTTTTCAAAGACAATAACTTAATAAGAAAGAAGATGTAAAAGTAAGGCATAATACAATTATGCCGACTACCATAACTTCATGTCAAAATGTGATCTACAAAAATACAGTTAACAAATAAATTACCCTTACCAAGTTTTGTAATTGTTTAAGTAGGTTACGTGAAAAAATTACTTGTCCCGATTTGTGTATCTTGAGAATGTGACATATAAAAGCTTGGGTCTAAAAATATTCAACAAAAGCCTTAATACAACCAGTCCGCCTTTCATTCGACTAGAGTTCCAAAACACAAAAAGAGCATCAAATTTACATGGGGTATGAATAATGTAGTTGTTAACTGTACATATAATAACGTACATGTTATTTCTATAAGATATTTATTTTGAATTTAAAGTATTATCTTAACTATCTCTCTAGAAATTGCAAGAGTGCCATCATCAGCGACACTCCATCAGGATGGCGGCCTCAAAAGTAAAATCTTTAGGTGAAATTTATATAACTGTGTTCATATCATCTTTGTGTACGAGTTTGTGAGTGTATTGTGTGGGTGTGTGTATGTGTGTGTGTGTGTTTAGTGAATGGGGGATAATAATAATAATAATAATGGTGGCTTCTTATATAGCGCACATGTCCGTCACGTTGTGACGCTCCTGGCGCTGCCCCGATTATTACCCTGGCTTTAGCAAGGCAGCCACTGCGGCGCACTAGCATTTCAAGGAATTAATTCCTGCCAGGTACCCATTTACATCACCTGGGTTGAGTGTGGCAAATGTAGATCAATGTCTTGCCAAAGGACATTAGTGCCGCGGCGGGACTCGAAACGCGAACCATAAGATCGACAGTCCGTCGACGTATCCACTCGACCACGACACCTCTGCACGTAGCTCTGTGTTGTATGGTGAACTAGAAACAAAAGTAGACTTTTCACGAAAGGAACAAAGAATACGAATAGCAAAAATGCTCTCAAAAACTGAAACAAAATCCAATTCACATAAAGAAGATTGATTATCATTCTCCCGCTCGTTCGCATACGAAAAACAACCTTTATTCAAAATAAGATTACTATAATGACAGGCAATAATAATGAGGCATACGAAATTGAATTAAAATGAACAGTGATGATGGTGATGATGTTGATAATGATGATGGTGATAAAAATAATATTACTACTATTACTATTACTATTTATCTATTTATGTTTTATCATTTATCATTTGTTTCTGCATTGCTCAGCACATTTACATGGTATGATCAACGTGAGATTAAACACATTAGCAGTTGACTTTAAAAATGCAATTACAATCATAACATATTCACAGTAATACTGCATAGAAAAACACGCAGAGGTTTGGCAATATACCATTCAATTTAACATACATGCATATTCTTCAAGGGATACGAAACAAACATACTAAACATGCTAGATACTAAATATTAATACTAATGGCAGTAACAAAACTAAAAAATTAACCAGCTAAACATTGTTAAGATCAACAGATACATTTTTTTAAACGGAGAATAAAAGTATACAAATAGAGTTACCCTTATCTGGCTAAAATACAATACTACTACTACTACTTGAGAGGTTCTGGTTAAGACTATGCGCAAGAGGTGACTCCAATAGTACTATTTGCTGAGGGGCGCAGCCCGAAGCAAAGGGTACGTTTGGAGTCACCGAGGCCCATAGTTTTAACCAGTACCTCGAACAGAGGCATGGTATATTTGTTGTATATCCTGCATCAAAAATTTATTTTATACAAAACAAAATTGGGGAAAAAAAAAAATTTAGAACCCCAAAAATGTTAATTTTTATCTAAAAAAGATTTAAAATATTTTGTTTTCATTAAATTTAGATTGGAAGAAAAAAAATAAATTCAAAAACAAAAATTCAGATTTTTTTTCAACTCCCAAATAGTACTCCCAAATAGTACTCTCATAAAGTACTTTCTAAAAATAGTTAAAATATTTCTGGTCATGTGACGAGCTCTCAACCAATCAAAAGCCAACAAATTTTTGATGCAGGATATAATACTTACTACTTCTAAACTACTACTAGTACTAATACTACACCTATCATTAATCTACTAGTACTACTTCTACTACTTTTACATTTTTTATGTTATGTAGGATGCTCTGTATAATAATAATAACAATGATGATAATAAAGATAACAATACAAATAACAACGATAATAATAATAATAATAATAATGATAATAATAATGATAATAACGATAATACGCATGTAACAATAAGGATAATAATTAAAATGATGATGATGATGATGAAGATGATGATAATCACAATAATAATAATAATGATAAGTTTTGCCATATAATCTTCAAGAACCATGAAATTGGAAGACTGGTTTACGTTTCATAAATCCTCAGTGACTTCTCCCATCTGCCCTCTTCCTCCTATTTTAGGAATTTTTTAGCGATCATTGGCAAACGCCATAGGCGCGTATGTACCTACATCAATGTTGTGAATAATTAATCGTTAATTACTAAGGGAGTTGTACCAATTAAAGCATAATTAAAAAAGGAAAAGGATATTAAGCTAATGTACTGTGGTGCCACTCACTGGGGTCTAATTCTAATTTAATCATTATCATGGTAGATGGAATGTTTTATTACTGTGAACAGCACAGTTTGGCCTCATATCCCTACCTAACGTCAATCTCATAATAAAGTAATTCGATAATTACCTGAATTTTGCATTTGATCTGAATATTTATAATTTCATTAATTATGAAAATGTTCTATTATGAGCCCAGGGGTCCGTGTGGGATTAGTGAATCTGTCTTGGGAGTATGACTTCATGTTCTATCACAGTAATCACCTTATTTCCCGTGACATGCCCACGTACATATCAGATTGAGGTCATTCTGGTTTCCATGGTTACCAAGATACCATAAAGTTTTGAAGGCAATAAAGCATTGCTACGGCTTTATGCTTTGATTAATGTTCACATTTATCTACGCTGTGCCAAAATGATTTCGCAGGATTGTTTTTCGTTCCCTCTTTCAAAATGCCAGTAACATGACTATTCAGTCACGTGCAAAGCATATAGCTGCTAAAAGAGTCATAGCGTTATGTATCAATCAAAGCGTCTGTAGAAAGGTGATAATAACATTAATGTTGCCGATATATTTTTACGACTTGAATTTCACTTTTTTTCACCTGACGCAATCCGACTTCCATGTTCAAATGAGTTGGATTAGCTAAGTGATGATAGGTGTTTCACCTGAATATGAACTGCACATAATATCCTTCCACCTTGAACTAAAACTTCATATTATTCGAATGCATCGAATATTTCTCTATGATTCCTCTTCCAGCAGTTTACATTAAGCGAACGAAATGTAGATTGCCTCTCGAAACAGCGAATTTAGCTTGAATAGATTATTATTTCAAATACTTAGTAATAGTATTGTTGTATTGTTGTTGATCTTAAAAATGTTTCTACCACCATCTCGAACAACCGATCAACAGTTGATTTTCACCTTCTCAATATTTATCAATATCTACGAGATGAAGAATGGTGTACGTGATGTAAGAAAACGTCACAGTATAAAGATGATACCCAATATTTTAAGGGCATATCATAAATGGTCAAGATATTTTTTTTTAATTCCTCATCCAGTGGTTTAAGAAAAAAAATCTGTAATAAAATGTTTAAAGCTTGTTTTGAGAGATAAAAGCCTTAAAAACCATTTCAAGAAATATACATAGAGGACAACATGGGGTGAAGACTTCCGTCCAGACAGATAAATCTATTTTCTCCATGAATACCATATTTTTCTTGAGGGGTTCTCAATTTATTTCACTATTTTTTTTTTACCAACGAGAACTGAACCTACAAACGGATAGATAAGAAACAATGCTATTACAGAGAACATCTTAATCTGGTAATGTTTATTATATTAAACATGGAACGCCATCCTTGTAATATTCATTAGGTAGGCAATCATATCGTCTGATTGGAGCCAAAAGGTCGTTTTTATCTCATAAATTTGAACACAGATTTAACACCCTTCTGGCTCTATAAAGTGCAATTTTGAGGGTTGGTCTTGACCGCTATTGTTTTATGCAAAACGATAGAAAAAATATTGTGTAACCTCTTCAACTGCTAAAATATCACTAGACATCGAAGGTTGCACCTTTAGGTGTTAATTAATGTGATTAATACGCCCTAGACTATCACCCAGGGCTTGGACTAACACCCAAAGACTATCATAGAGACTGTCACCCAGAGTTTATCACCCAGAGATTGTCACACTCTATATGGACAATGAAAAGATGAATATCTTAATGAACTATTAATTTACATGAACATGTGCAAGGAGAGGCAAACATGTTAGGTTTTAACCAATTTGCAATAACTTTTCTCTTTTTTTAGTACAAGAATGTTAAATAATTATTAAAACAAAAAACGACAAACTAAGAACAAACAAGCTCACAAGCGTTAGGAGATGTTACTTCTCGGTGATGAAAAAGTGTATTCTCTAAGTCCTTACAATTTCCTTGATTAAACTATTTCCATTGTGATATTTACGAAACTGCTAGGTGAAATTATTTGTAACAGGACTGTGTTTAATATGTATGTTGTGGAAATCAAAGCATTTCGAAGCTGAAGAAATAATCAGCCAATTTACGTCATGGGAATGCCACTACTTTTTACAGCTTTCTTCGAGATAAGTGTTGTTGTTGTTGGTTATATTTATGGCGTTCAGTCATATTTGACTATTAGATTATTCGCGATAAGTTTTTCGAACATTCCCTTTAATTATTGTCGGATAGGGAGGGTTAATTACCTAAAGATCATCATGCATGTCATAATTTCCTGCAAATAGACTACAAAACATTGCATTATTATTTTGTTTATTGTTGTTTCCAAGTTCTGTTTAATCATTCGTAAGTACTGTCTGTTCAAGATACTAACTTGCTTACATCTTGTTATTCTGGAGGTTTTGTTTTTGAATTTTTGGATGGATGAATCATTCTTTGGAATCAAAACAAACGAACAATGGATTAACGAATCAAATGTTCTAGTGTTTGAATTGACAAAATTAATTCCAAATCATCGAACTCCGTATTTAAAAGTAATAGAAGACCAAACACTTCGAATTGAAACGATTTGTGAAAGTATCATTTCCAGCACATCTACAACCTACGTAAGTACCTGACAATCTCAGAAACTTCTGAAATATGATTACCGATATTCATAATGGCGCATGCGGGATTAAGAAGGCGGTAGGTATACCGTTCGGCCATGAAGCCCAACTGAAATCAAGTCATATCAATAGTAGCACCGTCTTTCCAATGTTAGTAACTTGGCTTTGGTAAGCCGCGGCAAATTTAGACTCATTTCCTGCCTGCAAACCGATTCATCCGCCTGCCAGTCTTCAACCGACAAACCCTCGGAAGACACGTTTAGTGACTCGCTGAGAGCCTCTCCTGTCCTGGGTCTACAGCAACCTTCTCTTACCCTCGGTCTCATTCAGTCTTTATTTTGACTGCAGAGCTCACAGGTTCAAGCTCTCTTCTCCTCCATAACTGTTGAGGAATGCAGTCACTACGTATGCTCAACGAGGTTTGAATTTCAGCTGATATTACAAGCCAGGGGACAAAATTTTACCTGGAGACAACAGAAGAAGTCTTCGTCATGTTTTGTTTTCGCGCGATTTTGGTACTTTCTGCCTGTGTTGTGTACGGGCAGAAGAAAGAGAAGACAAACGTGTTCACCATCAAGCCAGTGTCGTCTATCTATCTTCCTCATTATGTTGCCGGGAAGAAATCCTGGGGGATCAATAAAGATGCAGCCGTCAAAACAGCTTACGATATGGATACTAAACTGGCATACAGTGCTGGTAAGAACAAAACAGTTACTGTCTTTATTTGATTGATGTTTATTGAATACAAACTGCTTTGAAAAATTAAGTAATAAGAAATAAGTTATTAGTAATAACTCATTCAGGGCATTGCCCACTTGAGATCTGAATTTTAGAACCATAGACATATAGCATATACATGAATAGGCCTATAATCTACCGACACAAAATAGCAAAAAAAATTTGCTCACACGGTGTTCATTTTTGGTGCGTTGCTAAGAAATTTGAAACCATGGGTTCTTGAAGGGTCAATACGCCTGAAAGTCCATAAGTTGACAAAATGTTGGAAAATTCGAAATCTCGGTTTTGCTACAGTTAATTCGCATTTAAAAAAATCTGATAATGTAGACCAATGATGCAGACTGTAGCAATAGTACCAAATCCAAGTATTGCCAATTAAAAAAAGGAAAACTTTAGTAGTTGTATTGCTTTAACACTTTCTGGTCCAGGTGGCTTAAACGAAGTTATCTGAAACGGAACAAGGATACAAAGAGTACCTAAGACCTCAAATCAAATCCGAGGCGTTGATGATTCATGTCAACAGGCATTATTTCGCTGGGCTGGATTGGAGCAAGGGGCCCATCAAGTTAAAAATATAATTGGTCTCTCTGCGTAGGCCTCAGGCAGTATAGTGAGAAGATTTGTCTAAAACAGAAGATAGTGGGGTCACTGATATCATGTATATAAATACATTGCGTAAGAGAAGGGTAAAAATGGCCAGAAATGAATATGCATATAAATAAGATGCAGTAATCTACATGTAATAATAATAAATAATAATAATGTAACTTATATCGCGCCAAATCCACTCTGTGGAGTGCTCAAGGCGCGTGTAAACGGGAAAAACGATCAAGACTTGAAAAGGAATGTTTTGAGATGAGTTTTGAAAGAATCAGAAGATAAACATTTTTTGATGGGTAATAGTAGATTATTTTGGAAACGTGTTATCTGATTTATATTCAGTGGTATTTTTTGTTGTTATACCAAGTCTTCACTTGCTGAGTATGTAATATATAGAAACCACATAAAGAATTTACAATCATTTAATAGAACACATGCGAGAACTCTATATCGTAGTCTTAAATATGAGTTGACATTTTATTTGAACTGTAAAAGTATTAAAAGAGAAAATAACAATATGGTACAGAAATTAATTGAGATGCTGTAGACAACGAAAACAGATGTACTCATGAACAAACTAATGGGACGTTGCAATATTTTATTTGTTTATGATTGTATATGAGTTGAATTTGTTTATTTGAAGGAAAAGAAACAAAAAGGAATGTCAATTTGAATAATAAAGTTCCTCTGATTGAGGTTAAAGAGAAAAAAAAATACCAAGTCTTCACGACTTCATCTTATCAAATTATTGTCCTTCAATCATTGTCTTTCAAATTGACTCGACGAGTAAACAAAATCTTTGTCTTTCTCCAAGATTGGTCGTTGTTGATGATAAACCATTTTTTTTACAAGGCAGTGGTCATCGGTGTTGTATGTTCTATAAACGAATAGGCTCTACTTGTAACGATTCCTTTTCTGTTAAACGATCGTTCCTGGTTGCCTATTTAGTGAGAGACAAACACTTTTCCAGGAAAATATGAATGAATAATTCAGAATTAGTCAGATTAAGTTCTTTCTTTATGAAAAAATATTATAAATTATTTTATGTATATATTTAGCTTCATTATTAAGTTTCTGAATATACATGCATTAAATATATGCACTTTTGACACCATCCTTTCTTAGATTAAATGAGTAATCATCGAAAGCACGATTTACTGTGTGGACGCAAATGCTATCTGCTTAATGTACGCGACTAAACTTGTTGATTACACCACGGGTAAAAGCCTTCTCCACGAAGGACACGCCCTTCCACAACATGGCCGTATAAATCTATTAACACGAGGACTGCTTTGCTCTAAATCGTGTTACATCCTTCAGACTGCGTTCATACTTATTAATGTAATTGTTTTGGTGCACTCTGCCAGTCCGAGCCATTATAAAGTGCACGGACGTGATGATATTCTCTATGATGTGTAAAGTTTTACACGGAGAAAGTGTTTATATTGCATGAAGTTAAAGTGTAGTCCACCACGATGATTAGCTGATATTAATAAAAGCAGAAAATGTACCGAGAGAAATAGATGAGTGAAGTTTGAGCAATACCCGATTAAAATTAGGAAAAACAAAAGTTTTAAACTTTTTTGAAGTTGTCATCCGTGAAACACACATTGGCAACAGTGTGACGTATCTTGTGAGACCCTTCCAAATTTGCTCTGTACAGTAAATTTGATAAACTTCATTTTCTTATTTATTGAAGACGGAATAGATTTGTTTTATACAGAGGTTGTATATAAACATATATGCAATAATCATATGTAGGGTGCATGTGCAATTGAGAATTTTCTTTGGGGAATTATAAATTTCAGATTTTCTTTTTAAAGTGCAGAGCAAATGACAGGGAGGCTCGCAAGATACGTCACAGAAATGTTAGTGAGATTTTGATTGACTCCATCTTCAAAATTCATATATTTCTTATTTCTAATCGGATTTGGCTAAAAAATTGTACAGGTATGTTTCTCTCATTTTCTGCTTCTAGTAGAACCAACTTGATATATCAGGGTGGACTACCCCTTTAAAGAAGTTGGCGTCACCTGTGACTGGGAGGAGAAAAGCTAACTAAATCACTCACTGTGTCCGTCGTGTCTCCCCTCCCGATAAAACTAACTAGGGATTGGCAAAGATGGTGATTCACCTCGATAAACATGGATTCATTACGTCCTATCCGAGGGACGGAGTGTTTCCATTACCTTATGTCTTATGAAAGGGGGATAGACACGTTAACACACATTGCGTGATTCGGTCATCCACCTTGGTAGGATTCGAACCCACGAATCTGTGGTTCGACATGCATGTGCATTACTTACTGAGCCAACTCGCCTCCTGAAATATAGCGACAGAATATAAAATAGCGACACCAAATCCACTCGCTCGTCACTCGTCTGAGCAGTTCTTTAGTTCTTTATTTCCTGGGACAACGGATCATGTTCAATTCCACTTTGAGACATCTTAAGACATTCGAGGAAAGATGAATCATATTCCTTTAAAAAACAGAATATAGGAAATGATATATCGTGAGGATTTGAACCGAAAGATAGGAGAGATGATGTTTCTATTCTCAAAAACACATGCATTAACTCTACACATCCACCACCGATTCATATGATTCAAATAAGGTTAAAAAGATTTTGGTACATTCTTTTTCTTTCAGTTCTTCATCTTTTTGTTCACCACCTCTTGGAAATTCATGAATTGTACACTGGTCGTAATATACGTCATTTATTATGTTAAGTTATTATTTAAGTCCAGGGAGCACGGTAGTGAGTGGCTTTTATACTTCACTTTAAGTTGAAAAGTTGAGGGTTGGAATTCTTGACAAAGCATTTTACATCCCTTTTCGTGGTCCGAGTGTCAAGTAGGTACACGATAGGATCCATTAAAATTACAACACTCATAACTATTATCATTCAAGATTTCTTGTTGTGATTTTCACAATAAAATTTAATATATACACATTTCCATACAATAATCACTATTTGGTGGGTCTTGAAAGGAGTCTGATTATAACCTTGCACTCCCCCACAAGAGGGTAAAACAGAATAAATGATGAAATGATAAAGGGCATAAATCCAATAAAGCTTAAAATCAACAGTCATCTTTGTCTGGGTATGTGTGGAGTTGGGGAGGGGGGGGGGGTGTATACGTGATTCATGTACAATCTGTTGACTTATCGGTCGACATCGGTGACCAGTATTGTGTTCATAATTCAATTTATTATTAAAGTATTGTTGCATATAGTCTCCAGCTTACATAACTTTGAAGAAAAAAAAAAGCCTGTAAGATAGTTGTAAGCTTTCGTGGAAGTTCATTTTCTGCTAACATATTTGATAACATATTAGTTTTGAATTTGAGATGAATTGATGTTTACCCAATACGATATTAGCTCATTGGCCAGAAGAGTTTTCTTTCATAATAATTTTTATTGATGTCAACTCAAACATGTATTCTAACCACAAAAATTAAATTAAAACGACATTTAAAGGCCACGTTAATTAACGCAATACATTTCGGATGCCATTATCTATAGTCAGATTGCGACGAATTCCTTTTTTTAGATCTTCATGAAATAAACTCCCAGGAAATATGAAAATAATTTGACCTCGAGTAGAGGCCTTCAGGTTGCCTGTATCGGACAGACGATAGAATAACAAGGCTGGGCTATTTTAAGAAGACTCAATACAGCGCCTTTGTCCACAATGAATTACGTATCATTATACTCTGGCAAAGACATCCTATTGTCTTAGGGTATATCCCTTCAAATACAAATTAATATTGCTGAATTATCCAAATTGAGGCGAAAATGAAAGCATGTATGTTTAGTGTTTGTAAAGCAAGATTTTCAACGGGATGAATCATCTTCGAGAGACAGCCAAATTGATGAATGATTGCTTGTGATGTCTCAGTGGTATTAACAAAATGCTTTTCAATATAGGGAATGATAGGTTTAACCTCGACGCCAAATTATGTGGCTTTGTGAGTGACAAAGACAATAGAAACAGAATATTTTGACATTCCCTAATAGGGTTACAATTATTTTGTCCATGAACAATCATATCGTGTTTGTTGTCTAATATTATGCGACAATTAAATCAAAACGTGATTGTTTGTTTGCAATGACTCACTGACACAAATAAAATTCCCGTAAATCGAATTTAATCCATAATCCTCATCGTTTTATTTTGTGTGTCTTTAAGATGTATCATGGAAAAAAATAGAACATATACAAATAATGTTTGAGTTCTTTAAGTTCTCAATAGCAATATTATTGGATATTGTTTGATGTCGAAGTTGACCAATCAATTATTGTATTTAATCAATTTATTTTCTAAGGAAAATTCATTATATTTTCTTTCAGTATA